AGAAGCAAAAATGGAGGAGAATGAATGTCTTGGTCGTATAAGATGAGGTGACCAGCATGGGAATTAAAGACTCATGGTTCAATGCCTGTATTCCACGTTCACAAAATGAATAGTCTATAGTGTATCCAATATTTTAATTTCAGACACATTCACAATCAATACTGATCATCACAGTCTAGTCAATTGTTCAGTGATCCGTGTCGATCGCGATGACAGCTGAAATTCATTGATTGGGTATGTCCAACACCGGCAGAGTTGCCGCTGGGAAAAGTATTCTCCGGGAAGCAAGGCCGGGCCTCCACCAACCTGTAAGGTAACCGACAGTTGTCACACAAGCGCCGGCTGTTCTTGTACCCTCAGACAATTCCTCCAGTTCAAGTGCCAAATTCTCTAGAGGCCCCCCCAACACTTACCAAAACTTACTCTCTGAAAATTATCGGTTTTATGTATTTGTAGGGAGAATTTTAACTTCAGTTACAGAAACTTCAGAATTTTAAGCATCATCTCTTAATATGTTAAAGGAATATTATGGGATTTGACATGGGACTTAGGGGCCATCCTAAGCACCTTAAAAATAAAACCTATTGAGGGCTGTGATAAAGAATTAGTCTCACTCTCCAGGAAAGGTTACTCTACGTTAGTAATTTCACAGTCAAATTTAGAATACCGCTTCCATTCCTTCTTAAGATTTCAAGAATCTCTTAGTTTAAAGTTTTGTTTTCTCTGTAAGGAAGAATGGGTAAGTGTAATGTGAAACTTAGCATCAAATAGTGGCCAACTAATATTGTTTTCAGCTCAAGATCTTACAAAAGAGAATTTCAAGAAAATCTTCAATTGACACAGAAATAGTTCGTTAATAGTTTAATGATTATAATGCCTAAATTGTTCCCTCTTGGTTACACTCAAACTATGTGGAGTCAATCTTAGTATAAGAGTATAAGAGAGAGAGGGAAGGAGGGAGAGAAAGAGAGAGAGAGAGAGAATGAGAGACCAGATAAACATTTTATTACCCCCTTCCTTCATCTTACAGTGTGCATATGCACACACACACTAACACACACTGCCGGGTCTATTGCATTAACTTTAAGTCTTGTCCTCCCTTGTAACTCAGAGGAAAAGATAATTAGCTAGGTAGAGATTGATAGGAAAGAAAACATGAAGGTTCTATCATACTTTGTCATAGCAAATAGCTATCAAAAATGTCTGCAAACAGGGAAGTTTTATTGAGAAAACATAATTTGTATTTTTTAGACTTTTGAGATCCCTATCAAAGCCCTACAGAGAGTCTTTAATTTTATCGTCAGTACGTTTTCTCATGTTAAGTGTGGAAAGAACATAATATATATAGCATGAAGACCCTGCAATATTAAGATATTGGTTATGAAGAAAAGGAAAAGGAACATAATATGCTTCATCCTATGAAATACAATGAGAGTTCAAAGACAAAATCAGTAAAACAGTGCAATGAAATGAGAAGGACATGGAAGAGGCAAGAAAGCAAATTGAAAGCCAATTTATGAAATGAAAGAGAAAAGCAAAGACATGGAAGAAAGAGAGAAAGAGAAAGAAAGAAAGAAAGGAAAAAGAAAGAAAGAAAGAAAGAAAGAAAGAAAGAAAGAAAGAAAGACAAATTGATTCATTTTACAAAAAAATTCAATTTACTAGCTAACTTTTAGGATCATGACAGTGACTTCAAAGGAAAAAGGCAAAGGGAACAAAGCAATAACAGTAAATTTGAAAGATACGATGAGAAAAGAGACTTCAATATAATCTATCATTGATAACCTCGGAATAAATAGCCCAGCAGAGCATAAAAATTATACAAAGTTAGAACGAAAGACAACTCCCTGAGATGAAGAGATGCATTGAATCTACACAGTGAGAACTCCTCTGCATCTCAGGAACTCTGAAAAATCACACAGAACTACATCCTGGTTAATTAAAATGAATGACAAATATAGGGAAATAATGTTGTAAATATCCACAAAAAATCATGAACTAAGTTGCGGGGGGGGGGGGGGAGATCAGACTGATTTTGAATTTCCCCACAACAGTCAGTGTTAGACTGTGAGGGAGCAATGTTTAAACAGTTTGAGGAAAAATAAAGTATGACCAAAGAATACTAGCCAAGACATAATCTAAGTATAAAGGCAATAGGTAGAGATTCTGTAATGAACATGGCCTCAGCAAAAGAGAAACAGTGATCTCCTCTTGAAAAAAAAAATAGGAAGAAACCTACATATATTTAAATCACACAAAAGAAAAAAATTTTAAAAAGAACCCATAAATGTCAAAACTGGCTAAAGAACTGTAACTTTAGGGGCACCTGGGTGGCTCATTCGGTTAAGTGTCTGACTTAGGCTCAGGTCATGGTCCCACAGTTTGTGGGTTCAAGCCCTGCATCGGGCTCTGTGCTGACAACTCAGAGCCTGGAGCCTGCTTCAGATTCTGTGTCTCCCTCTCCCTCTGCCTCTCTCCTGCTCATGCTCTGTCTCTCTCTCCCAAAAAGTAAACATTAAAAAAGAAAAGAGCTGTAACTTCATAATTATTAGAGACTAAAGTATAAATTATTAAAATAATTCCTAATAATTATCTATAACAACATATAATATATAATTATTAAAGTTATTAAAAGTGTAAAATTATTAGCATCAAAATAATACTCCAACTATCCCAAATCAGGAAGTGGTGAAGGGGGGAGAAAGTTTAAGACTGTTAGCTTCACATATGTCATAGGAAGCAGCTAAAATGTGATGTGCAAGTAAAAAGAATTATCCTCATAGCTTGATGATTTTCATAATCTTCTTTTTTGAAAGCATATAAGGACTTCTGAAAAGTAGTTTTCCTTGTGATTAACATTTTTATTTAAATTTAAGCATTACTTTAATAGTCACTTTAGCTTCACCTTTTCAATTTAATCATGTAAAATTAATTTTAATAATTTTTTTAAATTTGAGAGACAGAGAGAGCACATGTGCAAGTAGGGGAGGGACAGAGCGACAGAGAATCTTAAGCAGGCTGCATGCTCAGTGTGGACAACGTGGGGGTCCATCTCGTGACCCTGGAATCACGACCTGAGCTGAAATCAAGAGTCGGATGCTCAACAGACTGAGCCACCCAGACTCCCCTAATTTTAATAATTAACAAAAAAATTTTTAATGTTTATTTTTGAGAGAGAGAGAGAAAGAGGGAGAAAGAAAGAGAGAGAGAAAGAGAGAGAGCATGAATAGTGGAGGGGCAGAGGAAGACCCAGAATCTGAGGCAGGCTCCAGGCTCTGAGCTGTCGGCACAGAGCCCGACGTGGGGCTGGAACTCACAAACTGTGAGATTATGACCTGAGCTGAAGTCAGACACTTAACAGGTGCCCCAGGCATCTCTAATTTTAATAATTTTTTAATTTAAAAGTAGCATATATAATTTCATCGCATGTAACAAAAATATTTTTTTCTAATTTTCCATTCTTCCTTTGGTCCATATGATCATCCAATGTTAACAATCATTATTTCGGGGTAGTGATATTGTTTTGTGTAATTGTCTACAATTCGTGGTTAACAAATTTGTGATTTAGAGTACTGATTTGAATTATTAATAGTAAACATGTATTTGTTTTTAAATTGCAATCAAGTTATTAATCTAGAATAATAAAAAATCAAGTAAAATGTCTCAGTAATTTATTAGTTGGCCTACTTTCATTTTTAGGAGATCAGAGTACATTTTTCTACTTCTCTTATTTCTTCATTTTTTTTTTTTTTACTTCTGGCATAATGTTCATGGATAGAGAAGTCTGTTGAAATTTTTCTCTGCCAAAGATTAGTCTAATAATTGGTAATTCTTACATTCACACTGTTTCTCATATTTATATGGAGTTCATTCTCTCATAATTCTTATTTCCATTTCTTTTTTGTTGCTCTATGGGTACAAAATTGGGCCATCCATGGGCTGAGAACCAGGAGCAACAGTATCCACATGGACGGGAGTCAACCGCCCACCTTGGACAGCTCTAAGACTTCTCTCTAGTCTGCACCCAACATTGTAAATAACACACATATTCATCAACAGTGTATTGAATAAAACAATTATGGTCTACTTGTACAATGGGTCTTATACATCACGTAGAATAAGCTATTATTAGTTGCTATAGCACAAATAAATCTTTCAAACAAAATATTGAAATAAAGAAGCCAGTCACTATATGTATATATGTATGTGTGTGTGTGTGTGTGTGTGTGTATACAAAATGTGATTCCGGGGCACCTGGGTGGCTCAGTCGGTTAAGCGGCCGACTTTGGCTCAGGTCACGATCTCGTGGTCAGTGAGTTCGAGACCCGCGTTGGGCTCTGTGCTGACAGCTCAGAGCCTGGAGCCTGTTTCAGATTCTGTGTCTCCCTCTCTCTGACCCTCCCCGTTCATGCTCTGTCTCTCTCTGTCTCAAAAATAAATAAACGTTAAAAAACAAAAAACAAAAAACAAAATGATTCCATTTTTATGAAGTTCAAAAATGGGCAAAAGTAATTTATAGTTTTGGGAGTTAGATTAGTGGTCACACTTTAAGAGAAGTAGTGACTGGAGATGAGGGGGGCTACTAGAGGCCAGTAATACTTTGTTTCTCTGTGACAAAGGTTATATGTTACGTAGGTGTGGTTACAAAGATGTGTATTCACTTTGTGAAAAACTCACTGAACTAAATACCCATGATTTGGTTGCTTTTCCGTAGGTATGTTATACTGGAGTAAAAAGTTTGCTAAAAAATGTTTTTGTTCCAAAATTATTTATTGCATAGCCCATCATTTCCCCATTACTATGTATTGCCAACTCAAGAGAGAGAGGGAGAGTCAACCAGCATGGCTGGCTGCAAATAACAACTGAGGAACGGCTACCTGGGGAGCCACCCTCTGAGCGGAACCAGGCTCATCCTGACTAGTGGCTCCTGCCACCCTATCACGCCAGTAGCATCAGGAGCACAGGTTCATGTCTGATCTTTTCATGAATTGCAGGTGCTCTTTTTCTCCTTCTGCTTCCTGACATGTGATGACTACATCTGCAAGCGTCGGAGTCGGACATCCTAAGCCTGAGCCCAGACTTTGCCACTTGCCAGCGTGTTGGAGCTAGATTAACCTTCTTTAACCCTCAGCTCTCTCATCGGTAATTTGAGAAATAGTAGTTTCTTAATGAAATAATTATTGTGAGAATGAATTAGATAATGCGCATCAAGCACTTAGCACTGTGCCTATGCACAGCAAACTCTGATAAAGATTAGAGATGATGATGATGATGATGATGGTGATGAATCTTCCACTTCCCTTGATGTCTTCTTACATTCTCTTTCTCCCTGGACTGGAACATCATCTATCTAGATTCTCCTCTATCCACTTTCCTTGTTTTCACACTCCTTCCACCATGCTATAGACCAAAGTAGATGGTGGTAGAGTGCCTAGATACTTTTATGATCTCCAAGAGTGTTCTCAAAAGCTATCACGCACATTGAATAGAGGCAATAGCTTGATCCAAAATGAGACAGTCTTGTGTTCTCACACAATTGAGCTAAGCCTTAAAACCTCCATAGTACCTAGCACAGCATTCTGTAATTAGACCAGGTGTTTAATAAAATGTTTTTGACAAAGATGGAGAGAAGAGTCCACCCACTTCACATGTGTGCCTGGGGGGCTGGGATACAATGTGTTTACAAATGCCCCCCCATAGGTGCTCATAGAGATGGCTCCATGAGACTGGTGGTATGGTGCGTGTTATTTATCACCTGTGTTGTTTACTCTTTAGTCTTTAGTTTGCGAACCTCCTTTAGTTATGAAGCTTCATGACTAAATAGAAAGACCTTTTTTCGTGTGTGCGTGGTGGGGATACCCATTAAAAAGCTGCTTTCTCTTTGTAAGTGATGTTTATCTGTTGATTGAATATAACCTATTTATTGAGTTATTTTACATAGAATCTCACCTATCAATGCATAGACTAACATGTCATTAAGTCATTCAAAGATTCAAAAAATTATATAAATTTCCTGGTACGAAGTAGTTGCTCAGAAATGGTGGATTTCTGTCAGGGCAGATTAGAGTGTTTACCTGTAGGTGCGTACTATGTGCTGAGAAAAGAAAGGAAGGAACGCTGAGAATATTCTATCTTCTTTCTCTTTCAGAGCTGGAGAATGGCCTCAGGTTGGAGGTGGAAAAGACTGGAATGTGGTTTTATGCCAGGCTGTGAGCTATACAAGCCACTTCACCAGAAAACCATTTCCAAGCCACATACCACTAGTAATTAATGCTGTAGTCGTGACACTTCCGTAAGTGGGTTACAGATTGTTGCTGTGGTGTGTACAAAGCTTATTGGATAAATGTCTTTAGGAAAGGGGAAGGCATTAGTCTCTTGGTGATCAATAGGATAATAAATTGTGTTTTGTTTCTGTACCTGGATTTAATGTTTACCTTTCAAATAAACGCTAGCTTGCTCATTGCTTCTCTGGTTTTCAAGGCGCATAGTCTCTTGAAACACTTACAGTCACTGTCTCCACAGTCAGCAAATCCCTCGCTTCTCTTCTGGGTAGACAGTCACACAAGTGAACAGGACAGAAGATTAAAGCAACTAAAAGCGAAAACAGATGATGTAGGGGGTAAGTACGGAGCAGAGCTTTGATAATCTACTCATCAGGCAGCACGTGAATCCCAAATAGAACCAGATTTTCTAATAGGAGCGCCTTCTTCCCCCCCATCAAAAACACACTGCGTGCTTCCCTCTAATGTGCTAAGGCCTTTGTGACATTCTTTTGGAGACATTTTCCCTTTATCACACTGTCAATAATTTATGAAATGTTTCTGACTAACCAGTACTTACGAGTGAATACAAATAATGTTTCGAGTTAATAGCAACTTAACTACTTTCTATTCTATTCAGCTTTCCCCAATTCAAATATGATCAGGACTTAAGATTCTGCAAGAGCCATAGCAACAGGATGAAAGGAAAGGGGGAGAGCGTTGCTGGTGTAGTTTCTCTTCCTGTTTCCTTCTTTTATCTGAGTTGCTCTTATTGAGGTAGTTTCCTAATGTCCAAAAAGATCAAGATTCAGCCACAAAAGAATGGGAATAGAAAGAATGTGAAACAAAGAGCCATCATTTCTTTCCTTAAATTCCTTCCCAAATAACTCATTCTGCAAAAGTGATGTGTTATATTTCTTATCCCAGTTCAGTATGGGCAGCTGGCAGTGACAGAGGACACGATCTCCTCTCCCCCTAGCAAATAACTTCTGTCCAGTATTGGTTGCATACATAGCTAATCAATGACAGATTCTCTGTAATCATCATTGAAATTAAGCACCCAAGTGTAACCAGTAGTCCTGCCAGACGAATCTGTACCATGGAAACTCAGAAATTATTCAACAAAGGTTAATGGTCTTCCTACTATGCGCGCTGGGCATTGTGCTAGCATCTTGAATCAGAATGTAGCTATTGAGAAGGGATGAACAAGTTAAAACCAGGGAGGAAGCCAAACTGTAGAATGGTTTTATTTTTCTCACCAATGCTATAAAGAATACGTCATTTTTAGTAACCTCCCATACTGTTGGGCGTGTTGATGCATGAGTGTAGATAAAACGTGCGTGGTTTGCAATGGGTCGCATTTATATGCCTTGTTATTCCTACATAAATATGCCCAGCCCAGCTTTTGTTAATTGCTATTTAGAGTGATGGTGATTAAAGTAAATACAGGAGTACAAATAGGAATGCTTTAAAATGATGGTGTAATCATTACTAATTCATTTTATATTTATTGTGGTATTAATTCTAATGAACCTTCTTGATATTAATGTGGGTGTTATAAGTACTCAGATTGAATTTTTCACTCTGAGTCAGTATTAATTAAATGAATGGTTATTATTACCTGTGTAATGGGCCTGGAAGTGGTATTATTTTGGTGTTTATAAAAATCAATAGTAATGCTTTAATAGTAAAAGCTTGTTTTTATTCTTTCATGTTGATTATGGGTGCTGCCTGATTAATGCATGCTTATTGTACAATAATACAGTTAAGTAGATTCCAAGCCTATGACCCTAAGTTCCTGTAACATCTTCCTTACCCATCAAAGAAAGAGGAAATCCTATGAAATGTTTCGTTTTTTTCTAACTCCTTGAAATTGGGAGTCCGTGTATGGATTGTATGGAATGTTCCCAATTAATCAGATTGTTAGAATAATCAACATAATTTTCTAACAGTAAGTTAAATGAGGTGATATGAAAGGGCTTGAGAACCATAAATTATTATTTTCACAACCCTGCACTGGTGGAACATTTTTACAGTATTCAAAGAACTTTCATGACCTTTTCCCTACTCTAATTATTATTATCATCCACAACACTTTTAATAAGAAAATGTATTTAGTTGACCGCAGTGAATAGTTAAGAAAATAACTTAGCAGAACAGAGAAAATCTTGCTTCCGGGCTTAAATCCCATCTCTAGTGCTCACTAACCATTTGCCCTTCTGAGGCTTAATGTTATCATTTATAAAAGAGGAGTAACAAATGCACCTACCTCCTAGATTTAGGAAGCACTGCACTCAGTCATTGGCACAGCACAAGCTCCCCATTTGTACTAACTGCTACAATAATAATAGACAATTGTGCAGGGGATGAACAAAGCTAGAGCAGGTTTGGAGCCATTGAAAGAAGAGGCATTTAGGTAACATTTTGTTAGCACCAGGGAAGGGACAAGAAGACAGAAATATGGAGCAGGGGGAAAGGGGCAGGGAGCAGAGAACTGAGTAAGAGGGGGGTGATAAGGCTGAGTGCTGAAACAGCTCGTCCATGGGCAGGAAGGAACCAGCTGCAGAAGGACCGACCCTGTCATTTTCACAAGACTTCACTTGGAATGAGAACAGCAGGAAAGGAGCACGCCATAGAATGGGTCGAAGGAGTCAGAAACAAGGCTGGAACATGAAGAAACTTGACCACGCAGTCTACACATTGTGAGGAGGAAGTATCAAAAATGAGCCAAACTTTCCAAAGTGTAGGTCACCCTTGGGAATTTACTGCCGAAATTGACTGGGTTGATTTACTTCATGAGTTGGTATGAAATACCAGAAGCAAAAAAGTAGTAATTCTTTCCACTGTGCCTCTCAAATTGTGTCTTGCATGAGATAGGATTAAGATAGTTGTCAAAATGTATAAGATACATTATTTCAATGATGTGGTAGGAATAAAAATTACAATATACATGTCTTATAGCCATGTGGTATATGTATGTTTACATTTTTACCAAAAGAAGGACCATCGTAAAATATTAGAGATGAGTTTTCACTTAATGTGAAATGACATTTCTGTTATATAGAGGATTTCAATGTAGAAAATATTTCTATTAAAAAGCGAACCACAAATTTTAATAATTATTTAATAGCACACAAACACATTTATAATCTCATTAGTTGTGTCATGATTGCTTTTGTATTAAAACATAAATTCAAAATTTACCATATTTTGAAAAATAACCTTAATGCATACAATATTGTTAAATCTCAATACTTGTGTTAAATAATGACTGTTAATTTATGTTCCCAGAGGTTTTGGTACATAGTGGCTTATAGTATAATTTGAATCTTGGTATAAACTGAACTACTCTTAATAACTAAGCACAGAATCAAAAGAAAATGTGGAAAATTTCAAATGGAGAGAAAATTGGTGAGAATAGATAGCTTAGGCCACCATCAGTCACAAACCAGTAACTAGAAAGCTAAACACCCCAAATATGCCAAAATCTAGCATGCATTTTTATTATTTTATTTTAAACAGCATATATTTTTTAAATACCTCTGTATGATGCGAATGATACTCTGCTGAGTTCGAATATTTCTCTCTCTCTCTCTCTCTCTCTCACTTCTCCACCTACTTACCCTCCTCTCTCCTTGGGGAAAAATAATTCAAGGGGAAAAAGTCATTAGGTTCCTTCTCTCACCAGAAAGCTTCTTTCATAAATAATGTCAGTATTTTAAATATAGATAAATTATGTGTAATGGTCTGCCCATTACAGGGAAGGGTGAATGGCGGGAAAATAAAAGGAAGGGGGGAAAGGCAAAAAGGAGAAGAATGGAAATATATAAGATAAATTGAGACAGAAAGTAAGTGTGAGGAACAATGTGTATTCCAGGGGAAAGAAGGAAAGGAAAGGAGACACGTAGAGAAAGAGTGGTCCAATACATGATATGGGGGGGGATGATGTGGGAGTTCATGGGGGGCAAAACCTGTTTCAGGGTGCTGTCATAAAAATTAGCCGTGTGATCTAATCTGTATAGTTTTCTCAACCATTCATCATGGCCTACTGATTGGAATAGTGCAAGAAAGGCACTAGGATTGCTGATCACAGAACACTGTGGAACTGAAAAAACTGAGAGAGAGCGAAGTTTTCTGACTAGTACGAGACCCCGCAGTGTTTAAGTACACTTCAGGAATGGATACCATTTGCAACTTTTAATAGCATTTCCTCATGGCAAAGGAAAAAAGAAAAATGAAAGAATAACACAAAAACACCAGGGTCTCCCTTCAATTATGAAAAACAGCAGTGGCATCTTTACAGATCTTCCAGGTAAGACTAAGATCCTAACGTGATTCTGGTTTCACTTTATACCCTGAATTGTTAAAAATCTCTCTTCTACTGTCACGAAACCAGTACTGCATTTTTCTTTTGATCCTGCCATCTTTCTTTTGAGGCCAAACATGGCAAAGAGGGAACCTAAATGTCCATGTAATCAAAAGAGCTATGGCTGTTTAAAAATAATTGCTTCCCAGGGATATATGATTCAGTCATTAACTGCATTAAGTTTTGGATTAGATATTTGCTTCTTGGATATAGTGGATATTTGATATTTAAGAAGCATGGATATTGCTATTGATAAACAAAATGAGGTCTGATAGGATTACTTAAGGGAACATGGTTCTGACTCCGCAGCTATGGACTGGAGCAGTGCTATTCACTCTGGGCAGCAATGACCACGGTGCTTTTGTTTTACCTGTCCATCTTCAGGGTCGGACGATATACAGTCAATACCAAAAATATCAATAAACTAAAAACTGGAAATAAATCTGTGTATACTCTCCAGGTTCCAGATCGCTGAGTTTCTAAGTTAAATCTATCCTAATCATACTCTAAGCCATGGTTGTTCTGGGTTTCTTTTGTTTTCTTCTGATTCTCATGTTTCATTTTCCACTTGTCAGACATACAATACCTCTTCCCATCATTCTTGCTATTTACCATGCTATTTATGGCAAATTAATGATGTAGTCGGAGGTTTTAAGTCTTTCCCTTACAAAATAGGTAAAATGATTCTGCCCTCAATTTTTTTTGATGACTGCAAAATGAGCATTTATGTGTATTCTTTTGGCCGGTGCCTGACACGTGGTGGGCGTTCATAGTCTGTAAGTGTTATTATGCCTCCACAGTTTGCGTTACAAATGTACTTTTGTGTAACTTATAAACAA